AGACTCTAGAACAGCGGTTCTCAACCTGTGGTTCGCAACCTGTGGGTCGCGACCCCTTTGGGGGTCGAACGACCCTTTCACAGGGGTCGCCTAAGACCAACGGAAAACACATATATAATTACATATTGTTTTTTGTGAGTAATCACTATGCTTTAATTATGTTCAATTGCTAACAATGAAATTGGGGTTCACCACAACATGAGGAACTGTATTAAAGGGTCGTGGCATTAGGAAGGTTGAGAACCACTGCACTAACTGAAATGAAGATTTACAGGGAATTAACAGTAGAGTAGAGGATGACAAGAATCAAATCAGCAACTTGAAATATAAGGAAGCAAAAAACATCCAATCAGAAAAGCAAAAGGAGAAAAGAACCCAAAATTATGAAGATAGTATAAAGAGCTTCTGGGACAATTTCAAGTGTACCATAATTTGCATCCTATGGGTGCCAGAAGGCAAAGAGAGAGCGCAAGAAATTAAAAACCTTTTTGAAGCAATAATGACAGAAAACTTCCCCTACCTGGTAAAAGAAATAGACTTACTAGTCCAGGAAGCACAGAAAGTCCCAAACAAGAGGCCCACACCAAGGTACATCATAATTAAAATACCAAAGGTTAAAGACAAACAGAGAATCTCAAAAGTAGCAAGAGAAAAGCAGTTAGCTACATATAAGGGAGCTCCCATAAGACTGTTTGCAGATTTCTCAACAAAAACTTTGCAGGCCAGAAGGGAGTGGCAAGAAATATTCAGTGATGAAAAGCAAGGACCTAAAACCAAGATTACCCAGCAAAGCTATCATTTAGAATTGAAGGTCAGATAAAGAGCTTCACAGAGAAGAAAAAGCTAGAGTTCATCACCACCAAACCAGAATTACATGAAATGTTGAAGGGTCTTTTTTAAGAAGAAATAATAATAATAGTATGAACAGTAAAATGGCAATAAATACATACCTATCAACAATAGAATCTAAAAATCAAAATAAATAAACAAGGACTCAAATGCACAACAAAAAAACTGATGAAAATAGAACCAGAGGCATGGAAACATGGAACAGACTGATGAACCTTGGATGGAAGGGGGGAGGGGGGGGAGGAAAGAGCAGGAAGAGCTTAACCAAAGAACTTATATTTATATATGCATTACCCATTGACACAGACAATAGGGTGAGGCTGGATTCAGTGCAGGAGGGCAATGAAGGGAAAAGGGGGGGGACGGACATCTGTAATGTTCTTAACAATAAAGAGTTAAAAAATAATAACAATAAAAGAATTAAAAATATCACCTGGCGCCTGGCTGGTGTGGCTCAGTGGTTTAGTAGGGACCTATGCACCAGTAGGTCATTGGTTTAATTCTTGGTCAGGGCACATCCCCGAGTTGCAGGCTCAATCCCCAGTGGGGGGCATGCAGGAGACAGCCAATCAATGTTGATGTTTATCAATGTTTTTAACTCTCCCTCTCCCTTCCTCTCTAAAATCAATAAAAACACATTTAAAAGAGGAAAAAAAAAAAAACATGACAGGAGTGAAATGGATGGAGTGGACTGATCTTTCAGGTTTCTTCAGCTCTAAAATTGTGGGATGCAAAAAGGCCGAGCTGCCTCATGGGTATCCTACCAAAACCCAAGGGATTTGTACTTTCTTTTTCAGATGACAAACAAAATTATATGATTACCCAAGATAATGAGTTAGATATCCCAACGTATGGGACTGGAATTCAGATTTTTTTTCTAGCTTATGACTCTTTCCAGGAGGTATCAACACCAAATACTCAATTCTTGCCTTGAAAATATTTAATCATGCTATCTGGCTGAATTAACTCATATCTCAACTCTTCTATCAGACAAACCTTACAATACTGGTTTGTTTTTTTCTTCCTCTAATTACAAATGTTGAAACTGGCTGATCACAATGCCTAGAATATCATTCTGGATTTTTTCACTCATACCAAATTTCTTCAATCATAAGGGAGCAAGACTTTATCACCTGTCCCACAAACTCAAACCTGGTGTCAGAAAGTACTTATACCATGATTTCACGACACATGCATGTACACAGAACACCAGCCAAACGGGGCTTCCGAGTTTGTGTGAGCAAGCCATACCTGTACTTGCTTGTTTCTACATCAATATTCTTTATACTTGGCTGGCACTTTTTTGCCTACATGAGATATAAATTCCTTGAGGGCAAGAAATAGGTTTCTAAACTCTTTAGAAGCTCTTAAGAAACCCTACTTTAATATGATGCATATTTCTTGAAGCGGCAATGCCGAAGAAACAAAACAGGAATGAGAGTTATTCCGTTTCTGAAATCTCAGGCCCTTACAAAGAATATCATATATTTTTTTAGGGAAAAAGATGTCTGGGGGTTAAAAGCGCTGCCTCATATTTAAGAAGAAGTAATGTTATTTTGGCCAAAAAAAAAAACATGCAATGCTTTGGATTTGTTACAAGAAGTTTTTTAAACCACTGGTTAAAAAACACACAAGTATTACATCTGTAAAATGAAAGGAAAAAATACTGTATGCAACGTCTACAATCACCCTTGATGTTTAACAGCTCTTTTCACTTCCTGGGAACATACCTTTTCCCATTCTGAGTTGGTGTTTTCCGTAAGTAGGGAGAGTAGATCTTGAAGTGCGTTCTGAATGCAGGCCTTTAGTTTTTCAAAATATCGCACAGACGCCCACTTTGAAGAACACGTCGACATGAGTTCTGAGAGTTGCCTGGTCTCTGAACCAGGGGCTTGCTCCTTCGGGGTACCCTTTAGGAGAAGTTCCAGGACAGTCAGAATGTCCTCCTCGTACTGACAGATCTCCAGTTGGACCCGCCTGGCTTCCTGCACAGTCCACTCCCTCCGACTCTGGTCTAGACAGGTTTGCAATTCTGTCTCCTTCTGGAGGAGCAGTTCAGCTTTCTGTTTCAGAAAGTCTTCTTTTGCTGCTGCAAGCACCTCATTAATTTTATTTCGATGATCATCTAAAAACTGTCTGTAGTCTTGCTCATTTTGTTCTTGAATTCTGTGGATTTCTTCTTGCTTTTCTTTGTTCCATTCACTCCGGGCCTTTGCCAGCTCGGCCCTGATAACCACAGGGACTTCCTCGTCCTTCAGTTCCAGCTCTCTCTGAAGAGAATGAATCTTCTCCTCCAATTTTTCCAGGTGTTGCATTTTTCCAGACGGTACATTTTTCTTCATATTTTCAAGCTCACTTTTCCATTTCTCTTTAGCTTCAGAAACAGCAAACGATATCTAAAGGACATAATGAACATTTTAAAATCTTTAAGATTCTCTCATTAATAAAAAAAAAATTAAAGTAATTATTTGGGTTAACCTCTGAACTTAGTAAGAGATTTTGAATCAGAATTAGGGGGAAACAGTGAATTTAGATATTATTCCTAAAATATTCTTACACTAGACTTAAGGATCTTTTCCTTCATTTCAAGTCACCTAACATTTTATCTTACGTTATTTAAAAAACAAAATATCTGCCCTGGCTAGCATGGCTCAGAGGTAAGATCGTCGGCCTGCACACCACAGGGTGAGGGGTTTGATTCCTGGTCTAGAGCATGAAACTGGGTTTCAGGTTCGGTTTCTGGCCCTGGTCTGGGTGTTTGCAGGAGGCAGCCAATTGATTTGTCTCTCTTATATCATGTTTCTCTCTCTCTCTCTCTCCCTCTCCTCCCTTACCTATCATGCTCTCTAAATAATCGATGGAGATCTCCTCCCCTTTCCTCCTCCCTCCTAAAACAAAAAAAAGAGAGAAAATAAATAAACAAACAAATAATCAATGGAGCCCAGTGGTTGAGTTCAGTGGTTGAGCTTCACTATGAACCAGGAGGTCATGGTTCAATTCCCAGTCGGGGCACAAGCCCAGAATTACGGGCTCAACCCCAGTGTGGGGCATGCAGGAGGAGGCCAATCGATGATTCTCTCTCATCATTGATGTTTCTATCTCTCCCTCTCCCTTCTTCTCTGAAGTCAATGTTTTATATACATATAAAATAATCAATGGAAAAAGTGTCCTCCGGTGAGGATTAACAAAAAACAAAAACAAAACAAAACACGTTTTCTTGATGAAGAATTAGAACTTTAAACTGACCAAAAATATGTACTTGTGATTATTTACTCAAAACTAATTTTAGGAAAAATTCCAAATCACTTGTTTTATACATTTGCAGTCTCAAATTTTATCTAAACCCCCAAAACAAATTAAGCATCATTTACATTAAAGCAAAAGCAGCCTCCTTAGGAAATCTTATTGGTACTTAGGAAAATAACATATACCTGCATAATTACTTGCTGACAAACATAATTGTATTTTAATGCAATTTTAGTGGTAATGCAGTTCATGAAATGACAATAGCAAACAGAAAAGGTTATTGTTTTCCCCTTTGGTTAATTTTCTTTTATAACAGAACAGAAATAGTAGATCATAGAAAATAAGAGTATGTAACCAAAAAGTGACAGGGAATCAAAACACCCGGGCTCTAGCTCTAATCCTGCCTAGTACAGTACAGTGCTTATCAGAGGGGGCTCTGGAGACCAACTGCTGCAGGGTCTCAGGAATTAGCTTTGGAACCTCAGGCCCATTCCTCAACTTCTTGGAGCCCCAGTTTCCTCAGCAATAAAATCAGGATAGCTTTGGCCGGGTTGCTTAGTTGGTTGGAGTGTCGTCCCATACACCAAACGGTTGTGGCTTCGATTCCCGGTCAGGGCATATACGGGAGGCAACCAGTCGATGTTACTTGAGTGAGGATTACAAAATAAATAAATACACAGACAAATAAATAAAATGGGGATAATTACCATGCCTACATGAAAGTTCTTTTAGGATTAAATGACACAGATAATCCATTTGAAGCACTTAACCCAGAGTGTGGCAAATAATAAGGACTCGATAATGTTATGTAGCTATTGTTGCTTTTGGCTTCTTGAACTTGGAAAAGTCAATCTCTTTAGCATTTGGTGTCTTCATCTATATAATGAGCAAACTGGATAATGACCTTGAATCCCTTTTACTTCTAATATCCCCTGAGTGACTCCAAAACATCATTAGAATACAAAGTGTTAAAAGAACTGGGCATCTCCAAAGGCTTGGCCTAGATTAATTAATACTACATTTTTGCTCTGAATGCTGAGATAGGCTATCTGCTTACTAAATTTTCTATTATGTAATTATAGCAAACATCTTCACCTATACAGATTTATACACACATGCCCTATACCTTTATTCACTTGTATGTGCTCTTAAAGAGTTGCATATAATAATTTAAAAATTTGAAGTAATTGCATTTGAATTACTTTACTAAAGGAACCCACTAAGAATTCACAGTAAAATTCTTTTGCTCCCAGCAGAATGGTTCAGTTGTGCATGAAACATGTTTAAAGAATGCTTTAGAGAAAACAGGTCATGTCGCAATGGATGCCTGGAAATCACTGCCAGGTGGCAGGCGGAGGTAGTGGATCCTACGGAATGTGGATAGCCGGCCCAAGCTCACTAAAAGCACACATCCTCTCACATGAAGTTTTACAAGGAGCATCAGACAGCATTTGTTGACTCAGTGGTTCCCAACTTAGCTGCATATTTGAACCACCTGAGCACCTTCTAAAAATCCCGATGCCCAAGCCACACCCCATACCAAGTAGAACAGAAAGTGTGGGAGTGGGAGCCAGGCACCAATACATTTTTTTTTTTTTTAATCCTCAAGGGTTTCCACTGTGCAGCAAAGTGTGGGGACCGCCAAACCAACCTGACTACTTCTTGACTCCGGGAAACGGCCTTAAGTTTCCACACACTTGATGAGCACTTTAATCCTGCAAGAACTTGCCTCTCTAGCCAGTGCTAGGAAACTGGACCTTGCCCACCTCCTGTGGTTTGAGGATGGATGCCCAACATGTTAACATTGTTCTGTGGCTGAATAATTATGTCAATTGTGCCAACTCCCACCCACGTGTGGTCCAGAGACCAGCAGTGTCATGTCAGCGGGAAGCCTGTCTGAAAGGCAAATTCTCAGGACTCACTCTAGACCCTCCAAGTCAGATTTCCAGAAGAGCCCAGAAATCTGCTTTAACAAACCCTCCTGATGACTCGTGTGCCTGCTCAAGTTTGAGAAGCAACACACTGTCCTCTCGTCTCTGTATTTCTGCATTCACATATGTGCAGGGCTCTCTGTTCTTTTTTATTTTTTTAATTAAATCTTTATTGTTCAGATTAAGACAGTCAAAGTTTTTCTTTGTTCCATGTAGCACATAGATTGCACAAACGA